GCGGCTGGCAGCATCGGGCCAACTGAAGCAAGTCGATCTTATGTTCCTGGACCACTACAAGCCTGCCTACACAACAGACCTGAAGCTCTGCGAGGAGCTTGGCCTGGTCACAAAAGGCTCCGTGCTGGCAGCAGACAATGTCATCAAGCCCGGAAATCCGCCGTACTTGAAGTATGTCAGGTCGAGCGTTGAGGAGAAGGTCAAGGAGGCTGGAGAGGGTGGTCAGACAAACCTCAGCGGCATTGCTGAGACGAACGTCAAGATGTACGAGAAGAGATACGGCAAGGCCAAGTTCAGCGAGAGCAAAGGCAACCCGAATCTCAAGTACGAGAGCAAGCTGGTAAACAGCTACGAGCCAACGGGCGTACCTGTGAGTTGGAGCGCCGGCCGTCTCTCACGCGCATTTACTGACGAGCACAGGACGGCATCGAAATCACACGATGCGTTGGCTAGAAGAAGGCATCATAACTTGGTACATGACGCGTTGTAATCTTATGAATCGCGAGTTTCAGTGCTGGTGGGTCCTGAGCGCCTCGGCGCGGCGACGGTACCCGGCTGCTACCAGCTACAGGTGCCAGCAATGCCTCAATGCTTGCAAAAACAAACGGCATAAACAGATGAATCTATAGTTTCATAAATTCTGCGAAGCATCTCTGCGAGGCCGACATTGACAGACTGTGGTGATGTTGTGACCACGGCATGACACGTCGCGGTCGAGGAAATAACCATGAGCCCTGCATCCGCCGCCCAAACCCCTCAACCCCCATCCGCCGATCGCGGCCAGATCGCAAACAGGATCTACTACGACCAGATCGCAGACAGGATGGAGTCTAGGGTTCCACAATGTCGTACATGAGTGAAGTAACGATGACGTCTAGACTAGCGAGCAAAGCCAGCCTTCTCAGGCCAACAGCTTTGTCTGGGCGAACGTAGCCGCACGCACATCAATCACCTCGCCTATGCATGAACGCATTGCGTGACTACGAGCCGTCCGTCTGCACCGCTAATTTCTACTTACTTGCAGCCCGCATTGCAGTGCAGCGCAGCTTGCAGGCTTTTGCGAGGGCATAGTTGAGACCTCTCTCGGTCCTTTTTTTTGATAAGGTAACGCCGTTGGTGGTGTGTTGGGAAACGTCTGAACGGTGAAGACTGTGCGAGAACAAGTGCCGAGGTCACGAGCACCTCTCTTCCATCAACAGCAACGGCGAAGACATGGCAGAGGGAAAGAAGGATGCCGTGGTGCCGTTTTACTATAGCCATGTGTGGAAGAATGTGCTTCTACTGGCTCTGAGCGCTGTTTGCGCGCCTGTGTCGGCAGCGCTGGTGTTGCTTGGTCTTGCAGTGTCGCGACTCCATGGGCAGCACAACGCAACCTTTTCGACCGAGGATAAGCAGCATGTGGCGGCGGCACGAAGACGGAAAACTATCCTCGTCACTGGAGTGTCCATGACCAAAGGTCTGACGATTGCGCGCAATCTGTCGCAGCATACACCGCATCGCATCGTTGGCGCCGACATCTCTTCTTTATCGCCAGGTCGCTTCTCCAGCGCTATTGCGAAGTACTACTGTCTGGACACACCGAGTGGCGACGATGCAGAGCCATACATTGACTCCATTCTCTCGATCATCCAACGCGAGAAAGTGGACCTATGGATCAGTTGCTCCAGCGTTGTCGCAGCCGTAGAAGATGGCCAAGTCGTCCGCCTAGCAGAGAAGCAAGCAAGAGAACAAGGCCGCCATTTCGAAGCCATCCAGTTCCGGGAAGACGTTGTCGAAAAGTTCCATGAAAAGGACAAGTTCATCGACTACATCGAGTCGCTTGGTCTCCCAATCCCGGAATCGCACCGCTGCACCAACCCACATGAAGCGCTCGATGTGCTCATGGGTGAGCTGCACAGAACGCCAACGAAATCAGGAAGAACGATACCAAGAAGACAGTTCATCATGAAACCCATCGGTGTGGACGACAAGGCCAGGAACAACATGATGACGCTGCTGCCATTCAATACCCCAGACGCCACAGCCCAATACATCCACTCGCTCAACATCTCCAAAGAGAACCCGTTCCAGCTCCAGCAATTCATCAAAGGAAGCGAATACTGTACGCACGCCCTCGTCATCCGTGGAAAAGTAAAAGCCTTCACCAGCTGTCCCAGCCTAGAACTCCTCATGCACTACGAGCCGCTGCCTGCCTCGTCGCCCCTCAGCAAGAAGATGCTTGGCTTTACCGAGCGCGTATGCAAGGACGGCGGCGAAAGCTTCACCGGCCACCTAAGCTTCGACTTCCTAGTCGAGAACGACGATAAAGGCGCAGCCGCCAAGTTCTACCCTATTGAATCCAATCCACGCGCCCACACGGCCGTCGTGCTCTTTGAGCAAACTCCCGAAATGGCAGAAGCTTACCTCTCCATTTTCAACAGCCCTAACCCCTTGTCATCGAAACACAAGATTGGTCCTGTTTTCCCTCGCTCCCCGACATACAGCTATTACTGGATCGGCCATGACTTGGTGTCTTTTGTTGTCCTGCCGCTTCTTGATTTACTTTTCGGCGTCGCGACCTTCCAGGCTGCTTTCAATGACTTGGCGACATTTTGGAGTCATGTTGTCGGTTGGAAGGATGGGACGTATTTGTTCGAAGACCCTCTGCCCTTTTTCGTTTTGTATCATATCTATTGGCCTGCGAAGTTTCTAGAGGCGTTGAGGACAGGGAAGGCGTGGAGTCGGATTAACGTTAGTACTACGAAGATGTTCGAGGGATGAGTATGGCGTGATGTGGGTCAGACTGTAAAAGAAACCGGGCTGATGGGGAGTTACTAAAAGCGTAACGGCCGTTAGAAATGTGTTTATAGACCGTTTGTGAAGAGAATTTGTGCCATTGTCTGGACGTCCTAGCTGGCATCACATCGCACTGCTATGCTATGCTTACTCAAAAGTACGAATTTACGCGACCGCAACTCGTTTTTTGTGGATCCCTCTTTACCAAGCACTCTCCTTCCCCCTCAGTCCAAACTCACATCACTCTCCGTCTCCCAAACCCTGCCAATTTCCATATCCCTAACGCTCGACCAGACTCTTTCCAACTCTGCAGAGGTGGAGGTACGAAGTCAGTATATGTCTCAAATGCACTTCATACCGTCAAAACTTACCGGCCGAATCCCTCCTGACCTTCTTCCTCAGCTCCGCAACGGCAATCGCCATTCGTCGTTGCAGACGAGTCTGCTGGCCATGTAGGGCACGAGCCATAGCGCATCGCGTGTAGCAGTGAAAGGCGATGCAATGCTTCCTAGCGGTACCAGAGAGACGGTGGAATGAGCCCTTTCGCGGCGGGATTAGCGCTAGAAGCTTGGTGTTCCTAGACGATGACGAAGGAAAGATGGCCGTGATACGGGATTTGCGAGACGTAGTGCTGGAATATGTGATGCGGTGGTATATCCCTTTTGGCTTGTTCCTGGTCGCCGTAGCTAATGAAACGCACCCTATAGATCTTGTGCCGCTGTGTTTGTTGTCATCGTTGATGGGTGCTGCGAGTGAGATTGCGGCAGCAGTGCCCATGACCTGACTGATTTGCGCGCCCAAGGAATGGCGCTGGTCTGCTTCGGGCGCAATGGAAGTGGGGATGTGTTCGTCCGCAGCGACTTCTACACATGCGCCGTTCCAACCGCCTGAGTTGAGCAAGTGAACTGGGCGGTTCGCGGAGTCAACGCCCGCTTCGAATTTGCGCCTGATGTCATTTCTCTTGTCCTCGAAGCGTGACAGGGCCTCCATATCCTGGGTATCGATAGCGACATCAAGGACTTCTAGACTATCAGGCTCGTCTGACCAGTTTTTCGTGTCGCACTGTGTATGCTTTTGTCCCAAGACCTGAGACCCCAGCGTATACGTCCCACCATCTTCTGAGTCTCGATCTGCCTCGAACGTGCGCTTGGTGCCGTTGACGATGCTCAGCGGAGGCGCAAGGCCATCTAAAGCATCGGAAACCTCAGTCACCACTTCGTCTTCGGATTCTGCCTGTGGAACGCTCTCTTCGACACCAGAAGCCTCTTTCTCAGCTTCTTCAGCAGCATACGAAGCCTTGAGACTCTCCCAATCCCCCTTGACCCGTAACTTGGCGCGCCTCAACTCCACATCGCCCTTGGCAAGGGTCAAGTCATGCATCATCTCAGCGACACGTCGAATCTGCCTCAACGGTACGACTTTGGCTGAGAGCTGCTGTCCAGCACCCTCTTTAGCTTCGGCCTCTTCTTCTTTCTTAGTCTTGGGCTCAATTCGAAGATCGCGGAAGAGATCTGTTATCAGTTGGAAATTGTGGGGCTCGGGATTTGCATTGATGTCTTCAGCCCGGGAGCGCCGTACATCGTCGCTCATGAGAACTTCCTCGCGAAGGCGTAGAACGAGGCCGAAGGCGCGACGATAGAAGGAGAGGAAGTCAAAGTTACTGTGTACTTCGTTCTCCTGCAGTTCTGACCTCATGGTACCTAGCAGGTTGGCGTGTGTCTCGTCCTGCTTGTCGAAATCGGGTTTGCGTACCCTGGCCTTGTCCTTGCCTTTTCGCCTTGGCTTCGAGGGCGTGATCTTGGTTGCTAGATCGGCAAACGTGTCTCGCAAGTCCTCTGAGATCCGCCTAGCCTGTTTACAGTCATCGTCTGATGCGCCTCCAACAGCCTCTTTCCGTCGGTAGAGATGGTTGAAGACTGCATGACGCCTCAGCCAACGGTTATTGTCCGGGTTCGGGCCATAGTAATCGGAAATCTTAGCCTCCAATGGCAAATCACTCCGTAAACCGCGTTTCACACCAACTTGTTTCGGCACCCGAGGGAGGTACCTGGAAGTGTGGCGGAAGTCCGTGGCCATAGCGCGGCTACTGGTGCTACCCGAGAGGAGATAGCGATTGAGGAAGTCGTTAGGGTGGGTTGGTGGATCGCCGTGAAACAAAGCTCTTGACCTAAGCGTTGAGCACAGAATCAGTGCGTGTCTCACATGTAGTTCATACGCTGAAAATCTTACCCATGCATCTTGATCAGATAGTCGAGGTCTGGCCACTGGATGTTCAGACCGCCAATTTGGCAGGCGGCGTTGTAGAGGTGAGCGAGGCCATTGATGAACCACTGTATCTTGGCAATGGTAGTATGGTGGTAGATCTGGTTGTAGTGCCACATTGAAAGTCCCGCGAGCGTCGAATGAACGGTGATGAAGACGCTAGCAGCCATCGGCACTTCTCGCGAATTCAGAACATCTTGCAGCCAGTCCAACAGCCTGTCTAGAGGCTTCAACAGGAGGGTACTGAACTTGATCTCTTCTTTGCACATGTAGTCAGGCTTTGTTCCCTTGGCCCACATGCGGTCTTCGTAGTCGACATGACAACGGATACATCTGGCGATGTCTAAGCCGTGCTCGGTGAGGTCGCGTAGCATCCGACGACAGTCGTCGCGCACTGCCTCTTGGATGTCGAGAACAATGGCAAGGCCGAAGGGTAGGTAGTCTTGTGATGTACTCTGATGCAACAGCATCTCTGCGGTAAAGTGATCCCACTTTGGAAGCTTGAGGTTGCCCTTGCGAATAACGTCGAAGAACCTCAAGAATATCATGAGAGGGTGCTCCTGGATGTCGTTGCCAATACTGTCCTTCATCGGGCGCTTATTCGTGACGTAGCTCTTGATCAAGACGGCAGCATCATCCAGACAAAACAGGTGACGCGGTGCCTTTTCAGTGAGCGGTGTTGCTGCGTTCTGTGCTCCAGTGTTGGGAGCTGCTTTGATCTTATCGAAAAGCTGACGGATGAGTATGGCCAGGTCTCCTGGTAGCAAATCGAGCTCCTCCATCAGTGCCTTGACGTTCTGGTGCAAATGATCTAAACGCAGGTGTACAAAGTCAGTGTCTACTTCACATGCAATTTGTACAGAGACACTTACCCTGGGCGAGGTCGGTCACTAGCGCTGCGGTCATCGCATTGACATGGCCCTCACGGTAAGCGACCCACACCTCGTAGATGACATCCCGTATGCGGTTGAACTTGTAGAGGAAGCAGAGTACAAGAAAGTCACGGCGCAACTGTTCTTCCTCTGCAGTCAGCAGATTCTCCTCTGGTATCGGCGCCTTCGTCTTCGTCTTGGAAGTCAGAGGCTGCTGCTGCTGGCTGCCATCATCCATGTCAACCTGGTCCCGCTTCCGCATCTTCTTAAGTAAATCGTCCTGTTCGTCTTGGCTTTTGTTGGACTCGGCGGGAAACTGGATGAAGACAAGGGTAGGCGTGTCAGTCTTGCCGTTTCGAGCCTTATTGATACCGGGGACAAGATCCTTCAGCACCGCCATGAGCGCTTCTAAGCTGCCATTGAAGTATTCATGACCCAGGTCCGCCGTGTTATTGTGTTTGTGATATTGCGTTACCTCCTTCCTTGACCGGATAGCGTCTCCCAGGTCGTCGATACCACTGGTGTCCGCGAGCGGAATGCTCGTAGCGGCTATGGCGTTGACGAGCTGCTCCTGTTTCTGTAGCGGTATTCTGTAGCCCTTCTTGTTCTTTTTCTTCTTAGCCTGGTCTGCAACCACATTTGCAATCTCCACGCCACGTTGGAAGGCTGTCTGGAGCAACCACGCTTGGAATTGGTCGGTGTAGGTCTTGTAACGCTTGACCGTCTCGGGGAGTTCATTTTGTCGGTAGTAATCCATTTCTTTAGTAGACTGGATCTGCAGCCGAGGAACTGAATACAGGCGACAGTAAAGACGGGGAGGAGGACTGATGGCGGCAGATAAAGCTTGGGGGGCAGACTTGCAAGTGCACCAGAGGAAAAATCACATGGAGACCTGTGCTTTCTGACATAGGATGAATGACGAGTAGAGGACGAAACTTCAACGACAACTCGCGCTCAAGCGGAGGACTCACACTCGTACATTGCGCAGGGCCAAGCCAGGAAGGCGTAATTATGGCCCACTGAGATTTCGTTGCTGTGTCAACCCTGATGTTACCAGGTGGTGGCCTAGAGATAGCAAGTTCAGCAGTCTAAAGTGAAAGGAGCGCGAATACCCAATACCATAGCCCCTGTCAGCTCTGAAATTGTCACGAGCATCTCGTTACAGCTAGCATAGTCAATGGGAGACAGTAGCTGTGCTCGGCTGGAATTCGTCGTGGAATACATAATCCGGGACTGTATGCGTGGTCGTGTCGGCCGATGGTAAACCTTTTCTTACAGCAATGAGCGCCATTCCTTACTAGACGGCCTCTCCAGACCCAAATGGTCACATAGCTGACCCATGTGATCGACGCCCCAGTACCCCTCAGTCTCTCCTCTCGCGTTGGTAGCTGTCGCACATGGTCAACAAACACTTTCCAATTATCCGACAGAGCACCAATTCTGCGCTTACCGACAAACCATGGCAGCCCAAAGGCGCCGTCTTCAAACGCCTTGGTAGTGTTTCCGCCCAGAGCCTGCTTCACCTCATCGGTCTTCGTCCTCGCGATCACCTTTTGCGCCTCTTCGTCACTGCCCAAAACAGTCCCAAGGATAGCCTGCAGATTCTCCGGCTTAGTCGGGTCGTTCCAGTGCGCCCAGAAATTTTCGTAGCAGAGCTCTATTGCGCGTTCAAGTTTTTGTGGGTGAGAGAGCGAGAGAGATACCAGGGCGCGCTGAATGGGCAATGTGCTGACAGGGAAGCCAGGCGGAGCATCTTGCAGGATAGGCACGTTGAACTGTTTCGACAAGCGCTGGCGCTCAGTATTGATCCACTTGTCTTTGTCTGTATGATGTTAGAGGTCAGGGTAGACAGTGGCAAGTCTGAGAATAAAACTTGACATACTCTTGATCTTCAGCGGCGGTGTGTTCCCACAGACCTTCATCAAACCCCCAAGCAGGATCGGCACATATTGCACCTCGACCTGTTTGAAGGCATTTGAATTCTGCACAAACGCTTCGATTAGTACCGCATTACACCTCTACGTCTCAAACGTGCTTCAACCTATACCACCACCCAGACAAACTCACCTTGAGGACGTGGAAAGCAATGTAGGCAAACGGGCTCACAATGTCCACGTAGAATGTAATCTTCGGCTGAGACATGACCGGCTTTCTTTAGAGAGCGAGTCTGTGGGAGCTGTTGTGGGGATAAGACAGGGGGTGCGACTTTGTTCCTGGCACCATGCCCTATGTATGTAGGTGCTGGGTGAGGAGTCGGGACCGGTGATCTCATAGCCGGTCAGAATAACCGAGGCACAGACGGCGATCCATCTATTCGCAGGCCGTCATCTACTTACACCGATTTGGCAGCTCCAAGAGATGCTGGTCACTGTCAAAGAATATGCAAGATCCGAGGAGCTGTTGCTTTACGCCGAATATTCCCTGCGGCTGAGGGCTGGAGGATGCGCTGGCGACCATCATCTTCGGTGTCACGCAAAGCAAGTGCAACAGCCGCACACGTAGTTCGATAATGACAAACTTTGGTATCTACCCTGCGCCTATAACACAGCTACTCGCCTTGAACTCATCACTGAACAGGATCTCCTCGGAGTGCCTTCAATCAACCATTACAATGTCTCTCTCCAGCTGCGATGTGCCATTCGTAATGGCCTTTACCTCCCCAGCTACTTCATCCATTTCCTTTAGAGTAAAGTCCAGCAAGTAGCTCTCGTCTACCAACTCCTCTACCCGCTTGTAGTGTCTCTCAGAGTACACCTTGATAGCATCCAGCACGTCCTTCAAACTGCCCTTCGCCCCTACTTTCCCCTGCGGCCTCAGACTGGCTAGCCGAGAAGCAGGGTAGGACTTGACCACAGTCCATAGGATTTTTTGAGCGATCGGCGCGGTGCGGACGTTGCTGTTCCAGTCACGGAGGCGGATGAGCAGTTTGTACAGCTGCTCGTCTGCCAAAGAGGCGAGTACTTCGTCAACGGTATGGAGACCTGAAAGGCTGTCTGCATCTGGGTGCTCAGTCTCTACTACCGACTTGAAGAGGGAGAAGAGGCGGGCTGGCTGGTCCATTTGGAGGGCGAGTACGATGGCTTCGCGGTAGTTGCCGGCATACGTGTAGTTTTGTAGTTTCTGATCGAGTTCGACGCGTTCTGTCTCTGCAGTCGTCGCAGCTTCCAGCGTGGAGCTTGTTGTATCCTCCCAGAACGTGATGACACTGTCTCCACCACCAGAAACCAAGGCGCCTGTTGTTGGATGTGCGGCGAGCGCCCAGACACGGTCGGTGTGGTTATCGAGTGTGGTCATGGCCTCGCCCGAGAGTGAGTCCCAAATCTTGACAAGCCCATCACCAGCTGCAGAGGCTACTTGCGGACCGCGCTTGTCTCGTGCATCGACGGGCCGGTAGGGCAACCACGACAGCTTCAAAACACTGTTGGAGTGGCCTTCCAGGGTGAGCAAACAGCTGTAGTCTGCTAGGCTCCATATCTTGACGGTTTTGTCGCCGCTGCCTGTTGCGATCAGGCCCTTGTTTCCCGAGTTTGGCGCCTGCGACGCCTTGGGTGCGAACTTGACCGACCATACGCCGCGTTTGTGGCCCCGAAGGACACCGATGGCCTCTCCCTCTGCGGCGGAATAAATCTTGACGGTGCGATCCTGCGATGCGGATGCGAAGAGACTGCCAGAGGGGTCGATGTCGATGGCGTTGATGTCTCTGTCGTGTGCTTTGCGGGTGTATTTGGCTCGCAGTTTGCCCTTCATCTCTTTGGTAGTATCCCACCGCTTGACGGTCCTGTCTTGCGATCCGGTCACGACGTATGCGGGAGGATGCGAGAGGGGGTCGGTAAAGGCGGCTGACGATTCCTGAGGTATTGTATGCGGCAATGCAATCGCGCCGAGCGACTCGGCGTGGCCAGTGAGGACTGCGGCGCAAGTGTAGGATTCGTTCGCGGGATCGATTCGCCATAACCGTGCCGTATTGTCTTTGGCACCTGTAGCAAGCCAGTGGCCTGACCAGTCTACGTCCAGACAGATGACGATGTCCTCATGTCCTTTGAGCAAGCCGACATCCGCACCGAAATATCTGCCCTGGGTTGCATCGTCTCCGTCAGACTCGTTCAACGTGATGATGCGGATGTCTTCCGAGTTGGTGTTGAGCGCCAGTAGCGACTTGTCTCTGCCAACGTAGGCAATGTCGATGACCTCGTCGTGCGTTCCCGAGACGCGGCGGAATATGGGGAGCGGGTCGATGGTGTCCTGCACGCCGAGCGACTCGGCTGGTCTGAGGGTGTAGAAGTTGAGCACTTGGTCGGCATGGACCGAGACCAAGTAGGGTAACGAAGGATAGTAGAGAATGTTGACAATCTCGTCCGTCTCGGTTCCAGGCGCTTGCTCTCGGGTGAGCTCTCTGCCGCTGGACGCGGACCAGAGGCGCAGTCGGCCGTTCTCTCCACCCGAATACAGCGTGTTGCCGTCGGGGAGGAAGCCTGCGCTCTCGATGCCTTCGAGAGCAGCAATGGTGCGCTGCGCCTTCCACGTGTGCGAGTCCCAGACAATCAGCGTCTTGTCTCGGCTGGCAGACACGAGGGCATTTTCGTGCGGCGAGTACTGTAGCGAGCGCACGACGGAGACGTGCGAGTCGAGCACGGCGGCGCTCTTGCGCTTGTGCAGGTCCCAGATGCGTATCCGGCCGTCTTCGGCACCAGAGGCCAGGCGGAACTGCATCTGGCTCTCGCCCTGGGCGTGCTCCAGCTCGGCAGCTTCTGGGCGCGACTTCCTCTTCCTCTTCCTGTTGTTGTCGGGGGCGTCTGGGCGCTCCGCCACCTCTACCTCGAAGAAGTGCAGCGCCGAGACGACGCCGCCGTGGCCGTGGAAAGCGTGCGTCGTGTAGCCGCCGACAATGTCCCAGATCTTGACGACGCCGTCTGCGCCTCCGGTTGCAACCAGCGTGCCGCTGCGGTCTGTGGCCAGGGTGACTACGGGCGATGTGTGGGGCCGCAGTGTGCGCAGAAGCTCGAGCTCGATGGTGTCGTCGTCCGTGGCCGGGGGGTGGAGGGCGAAGAAGCGCATCGACAGCGACCGCGAGCAGACGACGAGGTGGGATGCAGCTGGCGTCAGCACCAGGGCCGTGATGGCCTCGCCGTCGCCGTCGACCCTTGCCAGCTCCTGGCCGTTGGTGAGGTCGGACAGAAGGACATCCTCGCCCAAGCTGGCGGCCAAGACGCGCCCGTCTTCGCTGAGGGCCAGGCTGCCGCCCGCGTAGATGGGCTGCAGGGTGCGAGCGACGCTGTACGTGGTCTTGACGGCAGCTCGTTGCGCCGACATGATGGGCCGTGTGGTGCAGAGGCAGAGGCAGAGGCAGCGGCAGCGGGAAGCGTGTGCTGGGCGAGCTGAGGGCGCAGGAAAAAAGTTTATCGATAAGGCGGCCCTACCGCGCGCTGACGTCTGGCGGCGCGTCTCCCGCACACCCACCGTGCCACCACCACCACCACCACCATGGGCCGCCAAGCCTACCTGGACAAGATGGCCTTTGTACGGACCCCGCCAGCGCCGCGCGCACATGCTGGCTAACACGGTGCTAGGGGCGCTCGGCCTTTGCGCCCACGCAGGCCGCATCGCAGTCGGCCGCGTACGTCCAGCTCGAGTCGGCGCAGGCTGACGTCCCGCCGCGCTACCACGAAGCGACCGCCAACAGCTACGTCCAGCTCTACGACGAGCGCGGCAGCCCCATCAACCCGCGCTCCCACCAGTACGGCAAGAAGCTGCGAGGCGCCCAGAACGATGTGCTGGCCTCGGTCGGCGTCGTCGAGCGGCGACACGCCCCGGCGGGAGCCTTCCCGCGCGCCAGCCACGACCGCCTCGAGCTGCTGGAAGCCGAGGACACCGTTGGGAATGCCATTGCACTGGCGACCACGCTCACCGAGAACCTGTGCACCTGGTGGATAGGCACTCTCAGGGAGAGGATTCTGGCACGTTCCTGCCGCCGCCCGCTCGTGGATCCACTAACCGGCGCAGACGTTCCACTATCCCCATGCCCTCACCTTTGTCCAAATCGCGGCCGCTGAGCGTGCCCTCTCTGGCGCCCCCATTGTCTATGCCGGCTTTGCCGCGCGCGTGTTTGCGACCATGCACATCCAAGCCATTGTCTACAGCACCTTTGTCTATCAGCCTGTCGAGCGCTTGCTCTATGCCACACGCGCAACCGCAAGGACACGCAACTTCTTCCGCCACGCCAGGAGAGCCCTCAAGTCTAGCCTTCGCCTGGGCCTCGAGATGCTGTGCTATCCCTTCTTCTACCACGCTGCGTTGCAACGCCTTGGACTAGTGCCCGCCCGCCCACTGCTGCCAGCCTGGCGGTCCCTCAATCCTCTCTCAGACTCGTCGCCTCTGCTGCCTTTCTCTGCGCACTGCAAGGCGTCTGAGTCCATGGCGGACTGCATCGGTGCAATCTTGACCTCGCCCGCCATCCTCCTGTGTGCTGAGCACTCCATCGAGCGCTGGGTCTACGCCTGCGTCTACGAAGCTGTCGAGACGGCCATGATCCGTCCTGACGAGCCCGACATTCCCAGCCGGGACGCCAGTGGAAAAGACCGGGCCTTGGCTGTTCTCGGGCTGCGACGGGAGTCACCGCCCCTGATTCGGGACGCCGTTCACAGCCTGCTCGCAATGCTTGGGTGGGCCCGACCGGTGTCCCCTCTGAGCGCACAAAGAAAGCGGGCAATGGAGCTTGCACCCGCAATCGCCTCGAGCGAGATCCAGACGCTACAAGTTGGTGGCACTCAGGTTACCGGCGCTACCCCACTCAATCTCCCCGTCCTGCACTCGACAGATCACCCTTCCGCAGAGCCGCTCGATGCAGATGTCATTGCCGTTCCGATCGATGCATTTGAGGACCTGGTGCGATCTACCACCCCGCCAGGGTCGCCGACACAATCGGAGCAGAACGAGAACGGTCCCCGGATACGCATAACGTCGAGGGAAGGAATCGTAGAGATGGAAGTCCGTCTCCCGCCTAGGATACTTTCCACGCACACGCAAGTCGCAGAAGGCTCGGATCCGTTGCAAGACGACGCAGCTGCCGGGTCAAGGAACCGAGCCCGCTCAATGGACGGTCATGGTTACCACCGCGTCACGCAACTCTCGTGTGAGCCGGCGCAGATGATCAGTGCAATGGTCAGAGCCCAGCTTGTCGGCCTTGTCATGCTCCCATTGAGGATGGCCACTTTGCGAGCGATTGCCTCACATTTTGTAGCCAGGCAAGAAGGGCATGCAGGGTCGTACCGCATTGTGGGTGGGTTGGGTCTCGGTGAGGGTGTGGGCTGGCGGAACATTGGCACCCAGCTCTCACGCGTAGCGCTCTGTGGTGCACTGGAGCTGACTATCGATCTTGGCCTGTGGGGATTGCAATATCTGGCCATTACAAAATTCGGGCAGAGTGTCTTCGGATGGGGTGCGCTTTGAGCGTATCACTCGCTTGGCAGACGGCACCATGGCCAGTGACATGCTCGGCAGTACCCGATGCAGTGGCCTTGGAGTGGCACCTCTGGCGGTTGTGTTGTTTCACGAGTAAGGAGACTCGAGTGCCGGCATGGACAATGCTCCGAAGGGGAGCAGTGGATAACAAGGTCCCCGCGATACCGGTGGGTTGGTCCCTGGTTGGTCACCATGCTGGAGCATGCTTGATCACGAGGCCATTCAAGCGAGGCTTCCCGACGCCGGCGGGTCATTGGTGTTTGTTGGGCCGGCAGTCGTTGGTAGGAGTAGTGGTGGCTCGGAAGGCAAACGCGGCAGCACGTGCAATGTGGCGCGCTCCCGCAGCACCAGCGCGTTAGTCTCTGGCTGGAGAGGACGCGGCGACATTGGGGTTTGGTGCAGTGAGGCGGAGACTGCGGATGGTTCTGTATGTAGACGGGCGGATCAGCAGGGATCGCCATCAGGTCTTTGTATAGCGTCACAGAAACGTCGCTACCAGAGGCGCTGCGAGATGCCGACAGAACAGCATGCGCACAGAGAGTAGAGGCAGCCGGGCCAGGGTCTGCAGATGGCAGCTGCTGTGGGTGCCGACATTAGTGAACCCCTTTTCCCAGGTACACAGGGCCCTGCGTCTTTGGTGCGTTCGCGCGAACAGCCACGCCGCCCGCCCGTTCTGCTTGCACTGGCACGGCGCTTTCATCGGTCGGTCGTTCCTTCGTCGGGCCCCTGCACCAGCACCTGCACCTGCCACGAGTCCCAGGGGATCCTGCCATCCATCTCATCACCGCTCCTTTTTCCCCACCACGCCAACACACTGCCGGCCGACCTCACTCTGAGCGACGCTGAGAGACGCTGCCCCCTCGGACGCGCCCACGACGTCCCCGCCTCGACTGCGACGACCCGTCTCCGCTGCACTGCCTTTGCGCTTGCTTCCCGCGCCCAGGGCCCTGCCTGTCCGCGACGCACTCGTCCCCGCCTACCTTGCGAGGCCCCGTCGCGTTGCTGGAGGGCCACGCCGGACATGTGCACAGCGGCATAGGCCACCTGCAAAAACAAAGCCTGTCGGGCCCACGACTGCAGCGCCAGCACCTCTGCCGCCCGCCGCAGCACTCGTACAGACGCGCCACCCCATCACCATGTCCGCCAACTCGCTGCCTCGCCCGTCGCGGCCCTCGATCGCTCCGCCCACCGGTCCCTTGCCCTCGCTGCCCGTCCCCAAGTCGCGGAGCTCCCACGTCGGTCCGACGACGCGCAGCTCGCTGCTCCCCGGCGCCGCCAGCACACGCGCTGTGTCGTCGTCGTCGCTGCCCTACCGCCCGACGTCGAAGCATCTGACGTCTCCCTCGGTGCCCTCGTTCCCGCCCGACGCTGGCGCTGCCGGCTCGCTGCCCGTGGGCAAGTCGCTGCGCAAGACGGTCAGCATCGGCTCCTTTCCCCAGCCGCCCAGGCACGGCGGACGCTCCAATCCCACCAGTCCGCTTTCCACCAGCTCCACGCCCGGCGGAGACACGGTCGACCGGAGGCTGTCCTCGATATCCAAGGGCCCAGCGCCCGCCCGGAGCAACAGTCTGAAGAAGCCGCGGAGCTCCAACATGGGCGGCGCGCGAGGCCTGCTCCCCAAGTCGCCCCTGTCGCCCCCGAGCCTGCTCAACGGCAGCGCCGACTCCGTCACCGTCGAGACGGCCCATCTCAGCCTCCCCTCGCCGCCCCAGAGCCGCACCTCTTCGCCGCAGGGCTCCTACGCCACCAGCGCAACCACATTCGAAGACGGGGACGACGGACGCGCCGACGCCAAGGCACACAAGGACGGCAAAGGCAATGTCATTGTCAGCGTCCGCGTCCGCCCCGATGCCGGCGCCAAGGAACCCAAACACGATGTCGAGTGGCAAGTCAACAACAAGCAGGCCCTGATCGCCTACAAGGGCAAGGAGGGCGGAGACTACATTTACGGTATGCTTGCACACGGCGAGGCTCGCTGCACCGGAGCTAATTTGGCCTGACCTAGACAACGTATTCGATACCCAAGACAACAACGCGCGCGTGTACGATGCTGCAGCCAAGCGACTCGTCCGGAGGGTCATGGAGGGGTATCACGGCACCGTCTTTGCCTATGGCATGACGGGAACCGGCAAGACCTTCTCCATGCAAGGAACTGCGACGAACCCCGGCGTCATACCCCTGGCCATCACCGACATATTCTCCTACATCCGGGAGACGCCCCAGCGGGAGTTCCTCCTGAGGGTCAGCTACATCGAGATCTACAATGAGAAGATTATCGATCTGCTGGCGGGGCCCGTCGTGGGCATCAACGGCCAGACCGGGCCCGTGGAAGAGATCAAGCTGCGCGAGGACAGCAAGCGTGGCGTCTATGCGTCGCCGCTCAAGGAAGAGATTGTGCAGAGCCCGACCCAGCTCCTGAGGGTCATCGCCCGGGGTGACAATTCGCGAAAGGTGGCGGGTACGCAGTTCAACGCGCGCAGTTCCCGGAGTCACGCTGTCGTCCAGATCGTCGTCGAGAGCAGGGAACGCGCTCCTGGCCCTGCAATGAACGGCGACAAGCGCTCAGCCATTGTCCCGGGCGGCGTCCGTGTTTCGACGCTCAGTCTGATCGATCTGGCTGGCTCTGAAAAGGCGGCGGACAACAAGGAGCGGAGGACAGAGGGCTCCCACATCAACAAGAGCCTGCTCACCTTGGGCACAGTCATTGGCCGCTTGGCTTCGGACAAGGACAAGTCGGAAAAGGACAAAGGAAAGGGCGACAAGCACCTGCCGTACCGAGACAGCAAGCTCACCCGACTTCTCCAGCCCGCCCTGTCCGGAAACTCGCTCGTCAGCATCCTCTGCACTATCCA